GAAACAGTGAGTATGCTTGTTAGCAAAATATTCCTGTCATCAGATCTCAGTCAGCTTCATTGCAGCTGAACACCGTGTTACACTGAACATCACATCAGCTGGTGGACATAAATACAGTACAGTAATATTATATTCACAAAATACTAACAATAACATGTTCATCTTACTGTGAAAAGTTATCCCCAGAGACCTGACGTCAACAGTCCGTCGATTAGAACAGAAAGAAGCTGCGAAGTGCTGAGACATCTTCTGCTTTAACCAAATAAGGACGACCTTACCAAGATGGCGGCTGCATTCCTGCTCCCAGCAGCCGATGCGGGCTCTAGTGTTTCTCTGACGTCTGTGTTCAGCAGTGACCGCTGCGTGGCGCTGTCAGATCATAGACAGGAAAATGGCCGCTGGTCCAGGGCTGACGGAAGCGTCCTTTGGAATACTAATTACTGTAATATCAAGTTTAATCAATGGGTCGACATTTGTGCTTCAGAAAAAAGGAATAATGCGTTCACGAAACAGAGGTAGAAGAAAAAAGCAGTTTCTTAAAACGTATTTATTGTTTTAGGCGAATAATCTGTATTAAAAAGGCGCATACTTGTGGGCGACATAAACCAAACTTTGTTTTTTTATTATTATTTAGGAGGATCCTATCTCACTGATGCAGTGTGGTGGAGTGGCACGCTGTGCAGTGAGTATATATTTATGTACAAAAGTGATCAGAAACTTTGATGTTTCTTTGTCTCAGTAACATCTTGGATTTAGACAAATATTGACAAGTCTGTTAACATCATTCTCAGTGATCACTGGTCAGACTGGGAACTTCCTGGCTTACAATGTGGCCCCTGCTGTGTTAGTCACACCATTAGGCGCCCTTGGAGTTCTCTTTGGGTAAGTTTCTGTCACACCTGGTTAGTTAAAGTTGCATTATACTAACCCAATATACTAACCCAGTATACTAACCCAGTATACTAACCCAATATACTAACCCAGTATACTAACCCAGTATACTAACCCAGTATACTAACCCAATATACTAACCAAGTATACTAACCCAGTATACTAACCCAATATACTAACCCAGTATACTAACCCAGTACACTAACCCAATATACTAACCCAGTATACTAACCCAGTACACTAACCCAGTATACT